TCGAATCCAACCATCGGAGAGAGAGTATGACTCCGGGAAGCAATCCGCCGGCCGAAGATATATGGAGGCGGGATAGAATCTGGGAGAGGAAGAGAGAGACGATTGTGAGTGGCTAGTGTTTAATACTGATTTTAAAAGGGTATTATAGGGACTTCAGGGTAGGCGAGGGGGGGTATGTCAAATCTTTTTCGAAATGAGGGTTGTTTTCCCTATAATGTAATCCACTTGATAGTTAGTTTTATATAATTTGGAACTGACGAGGTCTGCAACATATTCCATTTCTAATATTACAACTTAGAACGACTTATTTACCAAAACCAAAGGGTAAATTACAACCATCCCCTGAGGTATGGTCAAATAACGAAAATCCCCCTCTTCTTTGGATAATTACACCCACCCCCTCAACTCCTCAAATTTAGTGGAATCTTCGAGATTATATAGAATATTATCACTTTTGCACCCGTTTTATCCCATTCGAACTCTACATTTTGAAGCAAGATGATTATAATATGTGTTTTTTGGCTTGTATATATCAGATTGTGGTGCATCAGAAACTGTATTTTTACACAAAACGAGTACAAAATAGAGCACATTCCACGAAATCTAGATGATTATGTTGAATTTGACACCATAAGGGTGGAGGTATAAGAAAAAAATCGTAGTTGAGGGGGGTAGACGTAATTATCCAAACAAGACGGTTTTTTTCGTAAATTGACCATACCTCAGGGGGGTGTTCGTAATTTACCCAAAAACAAAAGTAAAATTGATATTGCATACAACAAAAAAATAGATTATGCACCCCCTAAGAGCAACTCCAATGGAGTTATTAAATGAGTTATCAAATCTCTTAACTACCATTTGACTCCTAAAATTTAAAAATTTTGTTCTCCAAAGGGGTTATTAAAATGAGTTTATTTTGATATTTCACCTCTTTGGATCTAAAAATACTTCCTGCATATTGAGTTATCAAAAAAATAACCACCTAACCAACCAATCACAAATTGACATGTGGCAATTACATACAAAATTACCAAAAAACTTCCAATTGATAATAAAATTTGATTACCATAATTGGAGTAGATGAGTTTTAAATGTATTTTAAAATATTATCGTAAATATCAAATGAACATTTGATAATTCAATTTTGATATTTAGCATTGGAGTTGCTTTAAGTAAATAAATATTGGATAGCAAGTCCATTTTAAATCTAATTAATGAAGTCAAAGGACAACAAATGCAAATAGAGGTCTGATAAGGATCAATACTAAATTTAAATAATTGGATAATAAATAAATAAATGAATAAATAAATAAATATATTAGGAAAAGGGAATTCTGCGACCTGGTTGGCAAAGCAAAAAGTCACACCTTCATTCTATTGCTTTTTCGATCTCTCAATTCTTCAATAAAATCCACTCATCTTATTTTATCTCCCCCTTCCTCTGATTTCTGCGATCCTCCTCCTGGTAATCAATCCTCCATTTTTTTACAGTTACCAACAATTGTTTTCTCATATCTCCTCTATCTGCGATCCGCTTCCGTTAATTTGCTTTCGAATTTTATAAATATACTGTTTAATCTTCAATTTTTGAATGTTTAATCTTCATTGTTGAATGCCTTTCTTTTTGTGTTTTTTTTTTCGATTATTCAATTTCTAGTATTGGGGGTTATTTTGCAGGATACAAACAAAGGGGTTGAGTTGAAGTAATAGAAACTGTAAATTAAAGGAATAATTGAATCGGAGATTGGTGTTTGGGAATGGCGTGTAAGGGGTTTTGGGAGTGTCTATTGAAGCTGTTGAACTTTCTGTTAGTTCTTGTGGGTTTGTGTATGATTGGGTATGGAGTATACCTT